GAGCGGCAAAGAGATACAGAATGATTTGATTCGTACGACATCCTCACCTCCCCCCCTTTCTCCAAGAATTTCCAGCAGGGAAGATAATGCTCCGTGGTCTGTAAGAGGGTATGAGAGTTCCACAGAGAGAGAGAGAGAGACAGAGAGAGAGACAGAGAGAGAGAGACAGAGAGAGAGAGAGACAGAGAGAGGGACAGAAAAATAATATATGTTTAACAAGAAAGAGCGGGCCTTCTCAACAGTCTATTTTGCAAAAACAGGCAGATCTCATCATCAGGAAAAGCCAGAGGAAGCAGACAGCTGGGGAAATGAAAGGCGTTTTGCGCCTTTCCTGAGATCAGAAGAGCGGCCCAGCTGGATCGGATCTTCCGAGTCTAGCGTACCCCCCCTGTTTCCAGCAGCGGGCCACCAGATACTCCTTGGGAGCCTGCCTGCCTGCCTGCGGGGCATGACAGAGACGACCCTTCCCTCTCTATCATGCTGAAGGCAAAAAAGATAATCCAGAGGTATACTGCCTTTGAACCTGGAGGCTCCACTTAGCTGTCACGACCCATGGCGGCTGACCGGTCTGCCCTCCACCATTTTATCTTCTCCCCTCCCCGCTGGAAAGTCATCTAAGTCACCACCCCTGAAATTACTACAAGAATGATGTGTTTATATAAAGTTTTTAGAATCATGGAATCATGGAGCTGGAAGGGGTCCTACAGAGGCCATCTAGTCCAGCCCCCTGCCCAATGCAGGATCATCCTAGAGCATCCCTGACAAGTGTTCGTCCAGCCGCTACTTGACGACTGCCAGTGAGGGGGAGCTCACCACCTCTCTAGGCAGCCGAATCCACTGCTGGACTCCTCTGTTTTGAACCCTACCAGGTATTAATTCATTTCCTTCGTTCAAACCCCATCTTTCTCCCCAATGGGGATCCAAACCATCTTACATTGTTCTCCTCTCCTCCTTTTTATCCTCGCAACGACCCTGCGAGGTAGGTTAGGCTGAGTGTATGACTGGCCCAAGGTCACCCAGCGAGCTTCCATAGCAGTGTGGGGATTCGAACCTGGGTCTCCCAGATCCTAGTTCTGACGCTCTAACCACTGCACCATGCTGGCTGTCAGTAGGACCCTAAATTCTAATATCGCTATTGTGTATGTGGGAGGGAATCAGTTTGAAATTTTAGAATGTCAGACCTGTCTAAACCGTTCCTTGAGCCGCTAGTCTTTCAATTCGGTTTAGTAGTAAAGCTGCCGATCTGCCGATTCTGTGCCATTTTGCGGTGTTTCGATTAGAATATAAGCAGGGCCCTGCCAGACCAGACCAAGTAGTCTGCCTAGTCCAGGTTTCAGTGATCAACTGAATGCCCCAGAAAGCCCACAGAAGGGTACAGACCCCAAAGCCTCCCCCTCTAGCTGCCCTCCTCCCTCCAACCACCACCAACGCCATCGTAAGGCGGTTTCATTGAAAAGTTTATTGTAGGTGTTGTCCTGTTTTCACGGCATCGATTTCTAGTTTTGCTATCCAGTCTTCTTGTGTTGCCTCTCAGCGAGAAAGACAGACTATAAATTAAGCCCGCAAAAGAAAGGAATAGCATAGGCTGAGTGTATGACTGGCCCAAGGTCACCCAGCGAGCTTCCATAGCAGTGTGGGGATTCGAACCTGGGTCTCCCAGATCCTAGTTCTGACGCTCTAACCACTGCACCACGCTGGCTCTCAGTAGGACCCCAAGTTCTAACATCGCTACTGTGTATGTGGGAGGGAATCAGTCTCTGTTTTAAATTTTAGAAGGTCAGACCTGTCTAAACCGTTCCTTGAGCTGCTAGTCTTTCAATTCGGTTTAGTAGTAAAGCTGCCGATCTGCCGATTCTGTTCCATTTTGCGGTGTTTCGATTAGAATATAAGAAGGGCCCTGCCAGACCAGACCAAGTAGTCTGCCTAGTCCAGGTTTCAGTGATCAACTGAATGCCCCAGAAAGCCCACAGAAGGGTACAGCTGCCCTCCTCCCTCCAACCACCACCAACACCATTGTAAGGCAGTTTCATTGAAAAGTTTATTGTAGGTGTTGTCCTGTTTTCACGGCATCGATTTCTAGTTTTGCTATCCAGTCTTATTGTGTTGCCTCTCAGCGAGAAAGGTACGATAGGTAAAAGGTAAAGGTTCCCTTGCTCGAAAGCCAGTCGAATCCGACTCTAGGATTGCGGTGCTCATCTCTGTTTCAAAGCCGAAGAGCCAGCGCTGTCCGAAGACGTTTCCGTGGTCATGTGGCCAGCATGACTAAACACCGAGGCGCACGGAACGCTGTCACCTTCCCACTGAAGTGGTACCTATTTATCTACTTGCAATTTCTTGCTTTCGAACTGCTAGGTTGGCAGAAGCTGGAACTAGAGACGGGAGCTCACTCCATCATGGAGCACACTCGGGTCTCGAACTGCTGAACTACTGACCTTCCACAGCCTGCAGTTCAGCGTCTTAACCACTTGAGCCACCACAGCTCCTTCAGCGAGAAAGACAGACTATAAATTAAGCCCGCAAAAGAAAGGAATAGCATTCGGAGGTATGCTGCCCCTGGACATGGAGGTTCTATTTAGCCACTGCAACGAATCGGCCTCCCTTCCGTGAATTTGTCTAACCCTCTCTGAAGCCCATCTTAGCCAGTGCCCCATTGCTACGCATCCCAGCATGGCAGTGTGTTCCACGAGCTAACCGTGCACAGCGGGAAGAAGACGTTCCCTTTGTCCCTTTGAATCGGCTGCCCCTTCCATTTCGTGGAGCGTCTGCAAATTTTAGTATTATGGGATTCAAATCAAGCCTGAACTCTCCCGAGAAGCTGAAACAACTAAACTGAGGCCATCGTACTTCGGTCACATTATGAGAAGACGAGACTCACTGGAAAAGACAACCATGCTAGGGAAAATGGAAGGCCGTGGGAAAAGAGGAAGACCCAACATGCAACGGATCGCCTCCATCAAGGAAGCCCTCAGTTTGCAAGACCTGAGCAAGGTTGTTGATAGTAGGATGTTTTGGAGGACGTTCATTCGTAGGTCACCATAGGTCGGAAGTGACCTGATAACACACACTTGGGGAAAAAATATCTCTGTACACTGTCTCTGCACCATGCGCAATCTTATAAACAAGCATGCCTCATTGCCCTGTCATCTGTTTTTAAAACTCCAAAGCCCCAAACTTGAATGTGTTCCTACCCCTTAATAATGTTGATCTTGTATTTTCTTTCTTTCTTTCTTTCTTTCTTTCTTTCTTTCTTTCTTTCTTTCTTTCTTTCTTTCTTTCTTTCTTTCTT